TTTCTGCTCCTATGATGCTGCTTGGCCTGCTGTGTTCATCCAGTTCTGCACCTTGTTGTCTCTTAGTTCAAATTAAAATGTCTTTCAGAGACAGCTTCAAATTGATACTTTGTGCAGTCATTGAGTTTGAAGATTTTTCCAGCAGATTGGAAAGTTGGATGGTAAAAGGGGAACCCCAAATTTAAGAAAGTTTTATTCTTGTAGCTTTTATTATCATTAAATATCTTTCCAGTTGGAATAATAGCTGTGTTTTTCCACTCACCTTCACCAATGTGTTATGATATATTAAACATTATTTTAACTTAATAAAGCTTACTGTCTGGATTCAGATGTATTAAATATGCAGTGAGAGCACTGAACAGACTGGTGACTGTGAATTGACACTTACTCGAAATAAGTCAGGGATTTTTGAACCGTGAACTTCAGACTTGCTGGTTGCTAACATGCAAAGCAAACATGAAATGGGCCAATAACTCACTCAGAGATAGCAAGAACTGCCGATGCTGGAGTCAGAGATAACACAGCGTGAAGCTGGAGGAATACAGCAGACCAGGCAGCATCAGAGGAGCAGGAAAGCTGACGTTTCGGGTCGGGACCCTTCTTCAGAAACATCAACTTCCCTGCTTCTCTGATGCTGCCTGGCCTGCTGTGTTCCTCCAGATCCAGACTGTGTTATCTATGAAATGGGGCAAGGTTTTTTACCACACCACAGGGGCCGAGGTCAAAGCCCACTCGTTAGTGTGTCAGTTACCAGTTGGATCCAGCTCGGGACTTTTTCCGGGAGGTGGAAATGTGGCTAGTAGCCAGTCAAATAATGAGAAACCTATTGGTTCCTATTGCCTGTGGTCAGACCCGGTACACTTCTTCACACAGACCTAGGCGCCTTCCCTATCTGCCTGAGTTCAGCAACAGCCACTCGCCTCTCTATAAAGGCATTCCTTTCTCTCCTACCACGCTCCCCATTCTACTACCAGCTCCAGAAATCCCCACAATAGTGGCTTCATTGCAGGGGAGGTATTTATTTCCTATTTGAAAAGATGATAGAGAAGGCACCTCCGTTTTTATTTGAATTTTATTCTTTTTCCTGACATTCATGATGGTATTAAACATGGGCGGTCAACTTTAAATACCATTGTCTGATATAATATCTGGGACTTCATAAAAGCATTTCAGTCCATTAGAGTAATAGAGTCATAAAGCACAGAAACAGACCCTTCCTTCGGACCAACTCATCCAACTAATCCCATTTGCCTGGCATTTGGCCCATATATCTCTAAATTTTCCTATCCATATACCTGTTCAAATGTCTTTTAAATATTGTAACTGTACTTGCGTCTACCACTTCTTCTGGCAGCTTGTTCCATATACGCACAATCCTCTGTGTGAAAAATATGTCCCTCAAGCCCCCTTTCAGATCTTTCTACTCTCACCATAAACCTATGCCCTTTAGCATTGGCCTCCCCTACCCTGGGGGATAGATTTTGGCTATTCACCTTATCTATGCCCCTCATCATTTTATAAACCTCTAGAAGGTCACGTCTCAGCCTCCTACACTCCAGCAGAAAAAAGGTCCCAGCTTATCCAGCCTCTCCTCATAACTCAAACCCTCCGGTCTCAGTGACATTCTTGTAAATCTTTTTGGCACCCTTTCCAGTTTAGTAACATCCTTCCTATAGCAGGGTGACCAGAATTGTACGCAGTACTCCAAATGTGGCCTTACCAATGTCTTCTACAGTTGTAACATGATGCCCCAATTCCTGTGCTCAATGCTTTGACTGATTGAAGGCAAATGTGCCAAATGCCGCTTTCACTACCCTAAATACCTGCAACGTCATTTTCGAGGATTATGTACCTGCACCTCTAGGTCTCTCTGTTCGACAACACTCCCCAGGGCCCGACTTTTAGCTGTGCAAGTCCTGTCCTAGTTTGTCTTACCAAAATACAACACCGCAAATTTATCTAAATTAAACTCCATCTGCCATTCCTCAGCCCACAGGCCCGGTTGATCAAGATCACATTGTTTATGAAGAGACCTAAAAACACTGACTTAAAATGGCCACAGATAGCACTTCATCCACAAGTTGGCCAAGTTTCATGGAATCTATGTGGGTTATGCAAAATGTAGCCTAAATTGCAATTAATATTTTTCCTCATTCAATGAACCGAGTCAACTAACCCATCCCACAAAACACCCAGGTGGTGTGAAAATGTTCTCCTTTGCCATCTGATTTATACCATCGTGAGAATCCTCACATGTTGGAGATGAACACATTGAATGCAATTATCAAGATTGAAAATCAAAGGAAACTTCAGCAAACTGAAGATATCACCAGATAAAATGCTGGAGATCTGAAATAAAAACTGGAGAAACTCAACCGATCTGGCAGCAACAGAAAATAGAGAAATGGGGGTGATGTCTCAGGTCCAATATGATTCTTCTTTGAAATATGTAGCTGACTTCTATTTAAAGCAGTTTTGGGGAGAAAAAGCAGAGGAAATGGAATTGAAACAGATTAGAAAAGGCTATCTTTCTTTCTTTCCTTCCCTCTTCCTCTCAAAGAAAAGCTTTGACAGCTCTGACTAGAATGACACATCAAGAAACTGAGAACATAAAAGATAACTGTCATATTTGCAACCACTGACAGTCCCATAAATCAATTACTCAACTGTGGTCTCAGGTTAAAATCATTCACCTCAAGGAAATCCACAAAGGTTTAACTATATCTTCCTTTATCCTGGACACGATCTCCTTTTTAATTTGGTATGCGTGACTGCATGAAGCCTGTATGCTTGACACCATTATTGTAGGTCTCAGGGTCAGCAGCTAATAAACCTTGCTATTTATTTTTTGCTCAAATAAGCCTTACATTTGGTTCCTTACTTCTACAGCAAAAATTAACTAGCTACATTTTAATTGGCAAGTGGTATAGCCTAGTGCTTAAAAAAATCCTTAACCATCATTGTGGCCAATCAGGGAAGTTGGAAAGAGGGGATCTATTCACTCCTACCTACTTGGTTATCGTACCTGGTATTCTGCAGTTGTTTTTGTGTTAAGGGCCTCCTGTAGATTGTACGATGTCACCCTATGGTCACTAACTTGCTACAGGGGAAAGTTCTGCCAAAGAGGTGGCTCTTTTTTAGTGGTCTTATGATTTTGCTGGCAGGCCGTGTATAGATTTTTAGGGACTGATAGCTAAGTTCTGGGAATCCTATTTTCTCTGAACACTCCTGGCAGACATAAAACTTGACATTGTAAACAACATAGGAAACATCACACTGGCACTAGTTTACTGGCAAAATGTAATGCTGTGGCCTATTTCAGACTGTGTTTTTTTTTCCATTCATGCTGGCCATGAAACTGTGTGTCAAATCCAAAGGGGTCATTTCCATCACTTTTTTTCTGTCAATCTGCCTGCAGTCAGTGCCCGTGAACCAGTTAACCAAAACGCTGTCTTTTTTTTTATAAAGCTATGTCTAAATTCAAGATTTGCAATTGTGCTCCCTTTCTTATTCACTTGATGCATCCTTACAGGATGTCCCTTATCCAACTTAATTTCTCGACTGCATTTGTTTCTGTATTTCTGCTGCTGTCACTTATCGGTAAAAGAAACAAAACTGTCTTCAACTGTCAGAACATGTCACAAATTGTAAAAGCACAATTCAAAAGGTAGCGTTTTACTTGTCGCACAAATAAAAGAAACGGTCTACCTACAATGAAACTGAACGTGCATTTGAAGACTTGAGCAACTTGCACTGAAAGGCAACTAAAGCTACAACATAAAGGCTACTGTGCTACAACATCAAATTTATTTAACTTAGTAATTATAAATAATCCAACTCAAATCATAAAACCTTAATTTTTGAAATTTGTGTGAAAATCAAGAATGCAGTAGAATTTTTTTCAAAGACAAATGGGGAAATGAGACAAAAATAACTTTTCAATTAAACTTTTATTAGCTTTTACTCTCAAATGTTTCATTTACAGGTTCTTTGTCTTTTCAGTCTTCTAAATTTAAAGACTTGGAGTCATAGAATCATGCAGCACGGAAATACACCCTTCGGTCCAACTCATCCATGCTGACTGAGTTTACCAAACTAAACTAGTCCCACTTGCCTGCATTTGGCCTGTATCCTTCTAAACCCTTACTATCCATGTACCTGTCCAAATCATTTCCAAACTTTCAGCAGCTTATCAGGAAGAATTTGTCTAATTGGAGATGTGTTTTCATGAGGACAAAGGTGTTATTTCATGGAACAAAATTTCAGAGTTCAGATTTTCTTATTGTTCACATTAACATAAAAACTGGTCATAGTTGACCATAGTAATCTCAGGGATATGCTCACCTCGACTTGGTGCTTCACTAAGAGAAAATCTGGGCTTACCCATAGAACCAATCAAGACACTAGCTAAAACTTGGAAACCATAGTTTGCATACTTGTCTTCCAAGCTGAGGGATGGTGTGATATGAGAGATAAAGAAACCCAGGCAAATAAAAAAAAAAATCCAAATTATTTTACAGGGAGCAAACTGCTGTTCAGGATTCCTGGACAGTATGAATTTTATATTTGAACTACTACATGTTTATTAAAATTTAGTCATTTGACATCATTGTAATTGAATCACATAAGCTAACTGCTGCCCTGACTTTTGGAGTACGATTCATACATTATGTCATTTGAATGCTTCTTTCTTTAAACTTTGAATAAATTCAATTGGTGGATCATTTTAAAACATTATAATTTTGCTTATTTACAGTAGAAAATTTTTGAGCAGAGGCTGTAGGAATTGAGAATAAAATAGATACCCATTGTTGATTATTGTTAATAATATGGATGAAAAGATCTTACCGTGAGTGGCCAAGCAGATCACAATTGTTCCCAACAGCAAACATATCATTCGATTCTTCATTATTGTATTCGGTTCTCTTCTAATTTGCAGTCACAGAAACGAGAAGCCTTCAGAACTTTAGTTTGTCAAATTGGGATCTTATATTTAATAGCAAGATTTGGGGAAGTTATAAAGTAGTATGTTGTCAGAGCCTCAAGGACTGCGTCATTTCATTTAAATTATTTTTAATGCTGTATTCTTTGGTGCATTTTAAAAACTGATGAGCATTTCTGCTTTAAAAAATACCCCATGAAAGGATTTCTTCCAGTAATTTCTGCTTTTTTTCAGCTGCAACACATTTAGTCATCTATGATGATTGTAAACTTCTTTGTCCTGTGCGTTGCGTTACCAAATAAAATAAACAAAATTTTGTCTGAAAGATTCATTGAATTATATTACTTTGCGTAATCTCACAAACTAGTGCTGAATCCCATCTTGTTAATTGTAGTGGACAAAGGCCTAAATGTCTTTTTTGAGGCATATAAATCATAGAATTGCAATAAAAGAAGGAGTAGGGCCAACTAAGGACCAAAAGGATTATGCCAAGTGGAAGGCATAGTTGAGACTTGCAATTGGCTTCACTGAGGAAGAAGATGCTGTGAAGTGATAACAAAATAAACCAGGTCGTTCAGTTAATGGTTGTTAATTAACTTGACTGAATTATTTTAATGAGGTGACAGAAAAGATTGGGAAGTTGGCAATATGGTCATGCATGGACTTATGAAAAGGCCTGTAATGGAGTGCCATATGTAAAGATGAGGCGTGAAGGCTCAGTTAGGGCGCTTGAGAGTTACAAGTTAGCCAGGAAGGACCTAAAGAGAGAGCTAAGAAGAGCCAGGAGGGGACATGAGAAGTCTTTAGCGGGTAGGATCAAGGAAAACCCTAAAGCTTTCTATAGGTATGTCAGGAATAAAAGAATGACTAGAGTAAGATTGGGGCCAGTCAAGGTCAGTAGTGGGAAGTTGTGCGTGGAGTCCGAAGTGATAGGAGAGGCGCTAAATGAATATTTTTCGTCAGTATTCACACAGGAAAAAGACAATGTTGTCAAGGAGAATACTGAGATACAGGCTATTAGACTAGACGGGATTAAGGTTCATAAGGAGGAGGTGTTAGCAATTCTGGAAGGTGTGAAAATAGATAAGTCCCCTGGGCCGAATGGGATTTATCCTGGGATTCTCTGGGAAGCTAGGGAGGAGATTGTAGAGCCTTTGGTTTTGATCTTTATGTCGTCATTGTCTACAGGAATAGTGCCAGAAGACTGGAGACTAGCAAATGTTGTCCCCTTGTTCAAGAAGGGGAGTAGAGACAACCCTGGTAATTATAGACCAGTGAGTCTTACTTCGGTTGTGGGTAAAGTGTTGGAAAGGATTATAAGAGATAGGATTTATAATCATCTAGAAAGGAATAATTTGATTAGGGATAGTCAACAAGGTTTTGTGAAGGGTAGGTTGTGCCTCACAAACCTTATTGAGTTCTTTGAGAAGGTGACCAAACAGGTGGATGAGGGTAAAGCGGTTGATGTGGTGTATATGGATTTCAGTAAAGCGTTTGATAATGTTCCCCACGGTAGGCTATTGCAGAAAATACGGAGGCATGGGATTGAGGGTGATTTAGCGGTTTGGATCAGAAATTGGCTAGCTGCAAGAAGACGGAGGGTGGTGGTTGATGGGAAATGCTCATCCTGGAGTTCAGTTACTAGTGGTGTACCGCAAGGATCTGTTTTGGGGCCACTGCTGTTTGTCATTTTTATAAATGACCTGGATGAGGGCATAGAAGGATGGGTTAGTAAATTTGCAGATGACACTAAAGTCGGTGGAGTTGTGGATAGTGCGGAAGGATGTTGCAGGTTACAGAGGGACATAGATAAGCTGCAGAGCTGGGCTGAGAGGTGGCAAATGGAGTTTAATGCAGAAAAGTGTGAGGTGATTCACTTTGGAAGGAGTAGCAGGAATACAGAGTACTGGGCTAATGGTAAGATTCTTGGTAGTGTGGATGAGCAGAGAGATCTCGGTGTCCATGTGTATCAATCCCTGAAAGTTGCCACCCAGGTTGATAGGGTTGTTAAGAAGGCGTACGGTGTGTCAGGTTTTATTGGTAGAGGGATTGAGTTTCGGAGCCATGAGGTCATGTTGCAGCTGTACAAAACTCTGGTGCGGCTGCACTTGGAGTATTGCGTACAGTTCCGGTTGCCGCATTATAGGAAGGATGTGGAAGCATTGGAAAGGGTGCAGAGGAGATTTACCAGGATGTTGCCTGGTATGGAGGGAAGGTCTTATGAGGAAAGGCTGAGGGACTTGAGGCTGTTTTCGTTAGAGAGAAGAAGGTTAAGAGGTGACTTAACAGAGACATACAAGATGATCAGAGGATTAGATAGGGTGGACAGCGAAAGCCTTTTTCCTCGGATGGTGATAGCTAGCATGAGGGGACATAGCTTTAAATTGAGGGGTGATAGATATAGGACAGATGTCAGAGGTAGGTTCTTTCCTCAGAGAGTAGTAAGGGCGTGGAATGCCCTGCCTGCAACAGTAGTAGACTCGCCAACTTTAAGGGCATTTAAGTGGTCATTGGATAAACATATGGATGATAATGGAATAGTTTAGGTTAGATGGGCTTCAGATTGGTTTCACAGGTCGGCGCAACATTGAGGGTCGAAGGGCCTGTACTGTGGTGTTATTTTCTATGTTCTATGTCCTATATAACAGGTCTGTCGGCAAAATTACAACCCAGGAAATAAAGGAACTATGGCAGCATGAATGTAAACTTGCCAGGGTGCGAGGTAACAGTGTAATTATAAGCAGTTGTTTTTTGAACTGGATACAGGTATGTCATGGGATTCTGAGGAGCTTATTTAGACCACTGCTTTTCTTGATTTGGATGTGGAGGGTATAACTTAAAAATTTCCAGATGGCATAAAACTTGAAAGTATTATGAACTATGATGTGAATAGTGATACACATTGGATGGAAGAATACAGGGTGGTGGAATTCCAGATGGAATTTGATGTATGAAGTTTGAAGTGCAAAATAATACCTATTCGTTCAAAGATAAGCACAAGAAATATAGAATAAACACAGCAGGTTGAATCTTATAGGGGTCTGAGCAACATAACTTGTGGTGAGATTTGTGGCAGAATCTCATGAGGTGCCTGAGGTCTATCTTGACATTAGGAATATCTCGCTCCATCTTTTATGCTTTTCACAAACAGCATTGTGGGATTCTCGTGAGGCAGCAGTGAGTTACATATTAAAAGAGATCATTCATAAAAACAAAATATTGAGGATGCTGGAAATCTGAAATAAAAACTCACTACTGGAGAAACTCAGCAGGTCTCGCAGCATCTGTGGAGAGAGGAACAGAGTTAACGTTTCGAGCCCTGTATGACTCTTCATCTGATTGGTACTGGGCCTGCCATTTAGTGCAGACACAAAGGAAGGAAGCTTGACACAGTTGTCAGCAGGTCTTAGTCAAGTCAAGGGGATAGCTATTATTCAGGTGGTTTGGGCACAGTGAGTCAAGTGTAACCTTTGATACCAGTCCAGAGGCTTGGAAATGGTCACTTAGCCACTCAGGGTGTCAAAGTCAGGGTGCTGTCCACACAAAAGGTGAAGATCTGAATGTCAGCTGCCCCACCACATGTCTTAAGTGTTTCTTCCCTAACAGGAGAATGAGTGGGAGGCAGGTAGTAAGTGGGGGATGAAAATGAAGGTAGTTAAGTGCCTGACTGAGTGAGTAGAGGGTGCAGCAGGCAAATGGGTTAGTGGTGTTGAGGGTTGGGCAGGGTGTCAATGAATGAGGGAAGATGTCGAAGGCATTACAGACAGGTTGAATCTTGGTGGGAGATGGGTAAAGTAGCAGAGAAAGAATGAGTGTAAGGTATTGGAGAGTACATGGTGGCACTCACACTGGAGGAGTGGGGAAGGTAAATGACCTTCTTCCTGCAGTGTTGGGCATTCCTCCAGCCAGCTGAGACAGCACTGACCATGGTGATAAAGTTGGCATGGTCTGGTGTCTTGGCCTCCATTCCTGGTCCTGTGGAATGAGAGTCTGACCTCTGCACCCCTTTATCCAGCCAGCCTTCCAGGTCATGCCCACATAGAGTGACGCCAATTTCCCCCTGGCTGCCATGTTGGAGGCAAATACCAGGACCTGTGCAAAGAAGCTCTTGAATGACAGAGCTTGTGTGGATGCACAACCTTTAAAGATGGTGTGGGCACATGGGATGTTGATGAATTCTGGGATATCTGCTGAGGAGTGAGTTGTTCTGTGAATCAGCATTTGAAAAGATGGGGCCAGATTCGAACATTATAGGGACACACAAGTTGGGGTAGTTTATAAATGCAAGAGTCTGGTAAAATACGACAATAAAACCTGCCAAGTCTGTGGGGGAGAAAAATTCCTCAAGGAAACTTGATACAAATGGCATTATCCAAAAAATGTAAGATGTAGCCCAAAAATTTTTAAAGCAACGCACAAGTAGAGGCACCTAGAGGTGGTATGGCACAATTTATTAAAGGTGGCAGAACGGATTTAGGAAAGTGATTCATAAATTTCTAAATAGGTTTATAAATTGAGGCATGTAGTAAAAAAAAGATAACTATTAGGAGCTTTCATAAAACACTGATTCAATGTGAGATGCTATTTTAAGTCCAATTTGGGCCGTATACTTCAGGAAGGAATTGAAGGTTTTTGAGAGGGTGCAGAAGTATTTTATATAACCCGTCCTGCAATGAGCAACTTCAGTTGTATGGATAGATTAGAAAAACATGGACTTGTTCTTCTTGGAGAAGAGAAGATTAGCAGGGGATTTGACACGGACATTCAAAATCATGAAGGGTTTGGACAGATATGGAGAAACTGTACTTGTTGGCAGAATAGTTACAAACCAGAGTACACAGAATAAAATGAATAGGCAAAGATGTAGCAAATGGAATGCAATAATGGAAAATGTGAAATTGTCCATTTTGATAGGAAGAATACAAAATAAACATATTATCTAAGCGGTGAGAGATTGCAGAGCATGAGATCCAGGGAGA